TGAGTACTCCATTATCACCTGCAATAAAAACCACATTACAAAATAATGTATCATGATTTTATTAATATAAATCATAATTACCTAGTATATTATGTAGTGTCTTGGTCAGTTCCGTTCGCAATCTGGTACAGTAATTAAAATATTTTTCGTTTGATAAACCAGTAATCAAATGATCAAAACAACTCAGTATTGACGGTAAAGTGACCTTGGACAAACCAAACATAGATTTACATAGGTCAATATAGGGATTAATGCTGCCATCGAGATTAGCCAACTCTCGTTCCAGGGCCGGGGCCTTCGAGTCAGTCATAGCGCACATCCATATATCAAACCCTAACTCCAGTTCTTTTAAGTATAGGGGCTCACAATCGGCACATTTATCCCGCAAATAGTCCACACATTTAATTAGTTTTTGCCTAACATCGGGCTGTACTGGACTAACACCCGGGTTATTGTGGCCCTCCATGTAATAGACTTTGATGTTTTTGATATGTACTGTTTTATCGAGTTGTAGTTTGGGTGCATTGCCTCCGGCCATTACTTTTAGCACAGGCTTTAGGTCTGCGGCATATCTGCAGAAACTATTTTACAATTGATTAATAATTTGCATAACTTTTGTGACAGCATTTCTAACATAATTAAATTTTTACCTGTTTATTATTTATTATTTATTTAGCACCATATACTTAATAACTATCCGAGGTAATATTAAAATTTGCTAATAATTAAAACGAAAATAAAGTAATATGTATATTATTTAAATAACTGTAAACTTATTCTAATCAAAGTGTTGTATTATAACTAATAAATCTACATGACTATAATGGCTTTGTCTCAATAAAACTTTATTAAATTTATAAAATGCTGATGATTGATTCGTTATTTTAATTTTAAAATTTTACAAAACTATTTTACAAAAACATAAATAATTATTCTACTAATGAATAAATACTAAAATTCAGTAGTAATTTTAGTAATTTTAGATTAAATACTATCTGTTTTAATAAACAATTGACAAACACTACATAATTGCAAATTGTATTAGTTTTAACATGATTAAAATAAAGACACTTACGGGCCAACACACAGTAACTTTTGCTTTTGGTCACCAAACAGGGGGTAAATACCATGAGTGGAGACAACACCGTTAGTAGTCTTGTGGCCAAAAACACCACAAAAATAAGCCGGTTCTCTAATAGACCCACCGATATCTGAACCAACCTTGATACAAAACAACCAAAAAATCACCATAAACAAAAAACCGCAACCGAAAATCACCATACTCACTCCAATCAAACTGCCAGCACTGGCCATAAGTGCACACTCGCCCCCTGAACTACCCCCTGGCACTCGACTCTTATCGTACGGGTTATTAGTCCTGCCGTACAGTATATTAGTCGAGTGCCACCACATGATCAGCTCCGGTACGTTTGTCATGGCTATCATAATAGCTCCGGCATTGCGTAACAACTCTACGACACGACTGTCCGTCGGGCCAGTAATGCCTTTCCTGGCGTACAGACCGCTAGTCCAGGGCATACCCGACACTGAAAACGAGTCCTTACAAGTGAATGGTATGCCTAGTAATGGCTGCGAGTGTATGGACTGGCCGTTGAGCACCGGGTGCTGGCCGTCCAACTCGGCCCTCACTCTCCTGTCCACCGCCTGGGCCTCAGTTATGGCCGATTCATATCTGTTCGCTATAATGGCGTTAATGTGTGGCTGCACTTCACGGCACCGGGCGATGTACGCCCTGACCAGTGTCTCGCACTTTAGCTATATTATGTATGTGTAAATGTGATTATTGTAGATGATTATAAATTAGTATTGTATAATTATTATTGGTGATTAATACTAACCTGGCCACTTTTAATACGAGCGCTCAGCACAACTGCCGGCTCCAGTAGTATGCGGTCCGTAATGGGAGGCAAATACAGGCGTTGTGTCCGAAATTTGAGACCAATTATAACGGCTATGAAGTCCAGTAATTGACGAATAAGTCTCCATAGTTTTGATTGTATTTTTTGGCCAAACATTGTTTATAACTTATTTTTATTTGTTATTATTATGTTGATATTGTAACGGTTTATCACGACTCAGAGAGGGGTTCTCCTATTTAATGATGTAAGGGCTCTCTCTATATAGGCCTCCCGAGCCGATCACCGTCACCATTCCCCTATTCATTACCTATCCAATCCTATTTATCAATTGTTGGCTCCTTCATAGCCGACTTACCCCGTATGTCGGTCGCGTTGGACCGATGTCCTTACCTTGGTGGTGAAGTCGACTTGGGTTTCTTCAGTTCGTTTCTGGATAGGCCCCAGGCCTATCTATGTGCTTCAATTGTCAAATAACCGTACAAATGGTCGTATTGAGATCTCTTTACTTTATTTATATAAGTGCACTTAAAACATAGGATTACATAGGTGTGAATAGTACATAGAAATGATACATAGGCCTTGTGCCTATAACTGAGCCAACGGTAGAGCTTTGAAGGAGAGCCAAAAGAAGAGAAGAGCCAAGTGAAGAAGAAGAAGAACGTAGAAGAACATAGAATTGAAAGTTGCACTGCCTTATATAAGGCAACAATGGCTGCCACTGCAGTGCGAAAGATTAGTAAAATACCATGCGTACGGGGAGAGTGGAGCTAGCTGATTGGAGGATTATAGATGCAGATACTGGAGTCATCTGCGGAGACCAAGTCGCAAGGCTTGTGCGACAATAGGAAAAGTAGAGATTGTATAGAATTAAAGATAGAATAGGAAAAGAGAGACAGTGGTAATAGAGACACTGTAGGAAAAGAGAGACACTGGATTTAGAATAATAATGAGGATAACGATAGTGGGGCATATCGATAGGCAATAAGCGATCGTATTGTAGAGTAATTAATAAAAACAGCATCGGTAAACTAATAAGTGTTAGATTATGGAATAATCGTTGCAATATTTATGCACAATTAATTTATGAATGTTTTCCACATGTTTTTGTAAATGGATTTGATATCTAATCATGTTTATTTCGGTTATGCGCTAAAGTAATATGTTTATCAATTATCTTGTTGCTACAATGATATACCGTATAACAGTTGTGTGTTATGAAATAATTTTAGCGTTTGATTCACACAAATGATAAGTTCACACAATTGATATAATTTGTTCTATTGATTTGTTAAATTAGAATTGTTTTTATTTAAAAAGATTAATTATTTATTACATACTATTTCAATAACAATAATCAAAAATTACATAAACGCCACTGGTTTATCATCAAGATATTTTATCATTACGTTATCACATTTGGTTTATAGTTAAACATTTTAATACTTTAATACTTATTGTAAATAAAGTTTATATTTCTTTATATTTCTACTAACACAATTTGTAATATAATAATAATATTTTATTCAAAGAACATGTCAGTGAAATTACATCAAATTTAAGTAAAATAAATATTAAGAGAATTTAAAAATTTATTAAAATTACATTCATTACGTATATATTGCGGTAATTCATTAAATAGCTTTACAGAGTAATCAAATAAATGTTTATCAGATTTACAGATTCTGTTCATTTGTTTCTTACAATAAGTTCCATGTCTTGTATTCTCATAAAACTCTACACAATTTAACCAATGGTTTAGAATTTCAATGAATTTTTCTTTAATTTTAAAAAATTGTTTCAAAATTTGTATTTTTCGTCTCTTTTCGAGAGAATCTATACCTAAAAATTCTAACCTATTTTTATAATTTAAATTTGATTTATGCATTTTAAAACATACAAATTTTGTCACTTTTCTCTGCATTTTCTCTAATTGTTGTATTTGTGTTGTACTGTATATTAAGCACAGATTACTGTATTCAAGAATCGGGAGTACATATGTTTGATATAACCGTAATAATGACTTCCCGTCTATTTGTTTACATATATTTTTCAACGTATAATACTTTGTAATTGCTTTTTCGCAAATCATATTTGAATGGTTGTTAAATAATAATTTAGAATCGTAGTAAACACCTACATGTTTATGTGAAGTTACATTATTAATATTTATGCCATTAATTTTATATTGATATAAATCATTTGTTTTAAGGCTAATCCTCATAAATACACATTTCTCTGCATTCAGTTTGAGTGAATTGTTTGTACAAAATTTTGACACTTGATTTAAATCATTTTGAAGTACATCACAATCACTATTATTTGTTATTACCCTGAGTAAAATTAAATCGTCAGAAAATTTCATAATATGAGATTCAATATTATCAACAATGTCTGCAATATATAAA